AAAATGTGATATGATGTTCATTTAGATAATCATAATAAACCCCCACACAAGTTCCTCTATTGAACTGAGCAGAGGATTTAAATAGCCAAAGGCCATTAATGGAAAAAGAATGTGAACCGTTATGGAACCTCCTTTATTGGCAAAAACCTAAAACAAACATTATAATAGATGATAAACAGTCTGTTGGACCAGTTAGAAAGTATTTTAGTTCATTCTTCATATACAAATGGCTCTTTTTTGAGTTCTTCATTAGCATGGTTCAAAACATACCACAGCTGATCAAACAATTACTGAATGGGGCTGTCCTGTACAACTGAATTTCCTGTTTGAACCACTCAGATGATGTTTTAGTCTTATGTATTAGTTCCTACTCAGGATGCCAGACTGAACCTTTTTATATTTTATATTTCACTCCCAAACTCTCAGCTGCCACACAAACTGGAATTCATTGTGAGAACGATGTGTGCACACATTTTTTTATATATATATATGATACAATGTGATTAATGTTTAATCAGTGTTAATGAAATGTTTTAGATATTATTAATAGTATTTGCCATAAACAATTCTTCCACCATGCAATGTAATCTGTTAGCAGTAAGCATTAATAGCGTTTGGTTGATAAGCAACACAGCAGACAATGGAGAGAACAATGGCTTAAGTCTTACTTTGTTTGTTTGTTTAAAATCTGCTCCATTAATACATCAATAAATTATTGTAATACACAGGTGTGTGTATTGATGACTTACCACTGGCTTTGAACACAGCTCAGCCAATCAGATTTTAGAGCCATTTTATAATAAGGGTTTGATGTTGACATGCAGCGTATTCTTTTTCCAAAACATTGATCAAATGTTCACTTATTCAAAGAGTGCTGTGAAACATCAGTGTGATCTTTAGTTTAGAAACTTTAGTTGCAGCAAACTGTTTTAATGTTTCTTTTGGACAGTGGTTTCCTTTACAGCAACCCCAACAAATACCAGTTTTTTCTCAGCCTTTTCCTAATGTAGACACATGAAGACATACAAACAAGGCAGTTTCAACTGTAACTGAATCTAGCAGTTCGTTAACTCTCCCCCTTGGCTCTTGTTGGAAGATTCTAGTGTTGTCTTGTGCTGAACTTTGTAGGATGGCCACTGCTGGGTGAGAGCAGTAAAAGGTGCTGAATTCCTTCCATTTGTAAAATAATCTGCCTGTTTATTTTCAGATAGAAACCAAAATCTTCAGAAACCCTTTTGTAACATTTTCCAATGTCATGATCCTCCATAAAAACACCTTAAATGTTATTGTACAATATTGCACCATATTACACACACACACACACACACACACACACACACACAAATATGGCCAAAAGTTTGTGGACACTTGACCATTACATTCATATGTCCTTTTGACAGATTTAGCCCCCCCTTTGCTATAATAATAACTTATTCTAAGAAGGCTTTTTGGAGCATTAAGAAGGCTTTTTGCAGCTTAAAATGCTTGATTTTGCAGTGGCTTTTTTTTCTAAATTTGCAGAGATTTTTGTGTGGTTTTTTGCAGAAAATTACTTGAATTGGCGAAATTGCAATTTCATAAAATAGTTTTGCATGGTCTTTCACAGTGATATTTGTTGGTAAATGAGATATTTTAGCTGTATTGATGTGCAATGCACATGTATCAAAGAGGGCTTTGGCTGAATGCGCATTGTGATGACATCACACGACTTCTTAGCCCAAATCAGCAGAGAATCTGCAGTAATTTTGAAAAATTGCAAGCGTCTCTGAATATTGCAGAGTTTCAATCCTGGAGGATCTGATTTGATTAGATTTAGGTGCCATTCATGCAGAAAGTCACAATTACAAGGGATTTCCAAACATTTCTCACTAATATACTATAATGGAAGGAACTGAGTGTTCAGCTAATTGGGAAATAGCAGTGATTGGAGATGTTTTTGCCAACTTTAAATACATCCTCACTGACAAACCTCAAGGTGCGATACTACACAGATGACACATTGTTTAAGTAACAGAAAAAAATAACTAAAGTTTTAAGTGTGAGCATTAGATATACCACTATTTAAAGAGACATGACGCAAGAAACAGCTGTATGCACTCACTAAGAACTTGGAAGTCTGTTTTTGATATGACAAGAACAGCCCTGTGTTGCAGTAGAGCATTTATTATCAGTGAAACATCTATTTTGAATAATTGTAGCTTCTGAAACATTAGGCAAGCAAATTTGTTCTTTCTACACACACACACACACACACACACACACACACACACCCCATGAGTTGCGTCAGAAAAAGGCCAAGTGGACCAATTACAATAAACAACATGAAGTATTACATTCCAGAACAGAGACCAAGGCATGGACTTTCCAAATACAAGTCAGGTTTTATGGGCTCTCACAAGTGGCCTGCAGCAATGTCTGTGAAGTATTAGGGTACACTATGCAGCTTTAATTAAGGTTCTGCAACAAATCACTGCAAGTAGATAACAGTGAGAAAAACTGGGAGATTTACTCTCACTTGTAATGTCTAAATGCTTTGGGGAGAAAAAAGGTCGTTGGTTAAAGTCTTAACTAGAAGTTAGCACTTGCCGAAGCCGTACAGACAGGTTAAGTAAAGAGAAGAACAACTCAAACAACAAAAACAAAAAATACTATAAAATAAAAAAAATTAAATAAAAAAAAAAACGACACTTTTTCCTAACCATAGATTACTGTTGATCGAGACAATCAGTTTATTAAAACCACAAGTGCCACTGTGATCCATCAGCTTTAATAAGCTTCAAAATTGTAGCACATCTGAGACTGAACCTCAGGTACAGGTCAATACAGTAAACTCTATTAACTGGCACATTGGGTTCAGCATGTAATTCAACATCACATGTAATCAGAAATTATGCAATCATAAATGAGTGTCACTTTTGAATGGTATGTGTCACTTTTTAATGGATGTGTGAATACAGAGGTCCTTTCATTTCCTACTTATCTACAGCCGTGATTTATACTGAAATGTAGTTTAGTTTAACAGGAGTTAATATAATGATGTAAACGTACAAAAAAGTAAAAGATGTGCAGCATGAAAGCATGCCTATAAACCACTCAACACAATGAACCCTGTATGACTGATATTTTATGCTACAATTTATTGAACTAGATGATAAACAAAAATAAACCTTTTAAGAAAATAAGTATCACACGGAGGAGCTATTCAACTATTTGAATAAAACAAACATACCAAAATCTGTCAAAACTAATAAGTACGCTCTTATATTTCAATAATACTATACTCGAATTTGTTTCAAGCCAGACTTCCATTTGGTTTGAAACAAGGAAAACATTTATCAGTATTAAGATACATGTTAATGTAATGTGTGTTAATTGCCAACTCCAGTAAAAAGCCCGCAATTTCCCACATCTTGCATCTCTTCTCCATTATAATTATCCATCATCTCTTGGAGGAGCGTATTGGTTCAGAGTAGATTGTACGGAAGGTCAGGTTTATCCTAGGTCCACGGTCATGGTACTCTTTCGCCACCTGATGCTATACAACAAATTATGAACAACACAGACAACTAGAATAAATGAGCTTGAAGAAAATGATAGTCATATCATATACTATATGCATGTACACAGCTTTAGCACATACTGATCTGAGTGATACTGATCTTAATTAACGGCATGCTAGACAAATGCACACATTTTTAACTATACATCTCATCTGGGGCACATAGTGATCATACGGCCACAGTCAAGGTATGTCTACTAAGTGACGTGTCTAGACCAGTAGACTTGTAATATCACAATAGTGCAATTCTGTCTCTGGGGAATTTGAATTAGCAGCAAAGCTCCCTCCAACAAAGGTTGCCAACACTGCTTTAACAGGTTACATCTCTACCCATCTATAAATATTTACTGTATATTTAAATCATCATTTAGCAAGTTGTCCATGTTGGATTAGTACACCTTATTATGGCTCTGCAACGTAAATTGTGTCTGACTGAACTGTGCTTTCAGACACTTTCCAAGATCAAATTAAAAGCCTCAGAGACAGTCTTTAGGTGTTGCTATAAAATGTCCTTGACCTTTTTCCCTTATTTGTGCTCTTTGAAAAATTGCTCTAGCTGGCGTTCGTGCCAGAATCCAAAGCAACTCTGCAGCAAGGGGAGAATACCCTTCCAAGGCTTTTAGTATTTAGCTGAAATGACAACAATAAGGTAATGAACAGGCCTGTCCGATCTTTAGTAGTTATCTAGGTTTTACACCATGAGAACGATTGCATTATGTATAGTCATGGTTTAATGTTACCACTATAGTTTGTACTTACAGCTACAGTTTGTACATACCACTACAGTTTGCACGTACTTCATCTGCCAATCATAACCAAGGAATACATGAGCAGCAGCAGAATAAACAGTAGCACAATTCTTCCTTATTAGCACATTCTATTCAAGACGTCAGTTAATTCCAAAGGCCTTCAGTGTGCTGTGATCTTCAGGAATTTTTACTTATTTGTGTGTGTGTATACCTAAACATCTAACAGTGTAGATTAATTCTAAAATTGTTAACATCAAAACAACCAATAACAATAGGCAGGGCAAGAGACTATTATCTGACTGCTCATTTAATATAATTAGCTAGTTTAAAGCCTTCACTGATAAAATGATAGGAAATAAGGCACTTTAATTCCTAAACTGACAAACAACTTAAGGTCTAAACACGAAACCCATCCATCCATCCATCCACTACCACTTACTCCTTTTCAGGGTCACAGGGAACCTGAAGCCTATCCCAGGAAGCATCGGGCACGAGGGGGGGTACACCCTGGACAGGGTGCCAGTCCACTGCAGGGCACAATCACATACACACTCGCACACCCACTCATACACTACGGACACTTTGGACATGCCAATCAGCCTACCATGCATGTCTTTGGACTGGGGGAGGAAATCGGAATACCCAGAGGAAACCCCTGCAGCAAAAAAAAAAAAAGAGAACATGCAAACTCCACACACCGCTGGGACTCGAACCCCGGACCCTGGAGTTATGAGGTGAACGTGCTAACCACTAAGCCATCGTACAACCCTATTTAGTTAAATTAAGCCTTTAGGTCAGAAACTTCTTATCTACTGCTGGCTATTAAGAGTTGAATGGCTAATGATTTTCTTCAATTAAAGTAAAACAAATCAGATATCAATGTCTCTGTATTTAACTTAGTTTTTGGCATAATGGTAGTCCATGGGTGAGGAATCTTGGCGTTTTATTCATTTGTGACCAGAGATATGAATAATGGTTGGTAAACAGTAAATATATTCAGCATGGAAAGATTTCTAAAATCAGGCCATTCCTCTTGGGAAAAAGCTATTCATGTGTTTAGAAAGTTTTGCATAGACTGCCATAAATTGCTGAATTTTGGCATGACTAAGGGGTCTGTTGACAATTAGCACAAAATACGAATTACTCACAGGCACCAAGAAAATACACCTCAGTTTTGGCACTCTCACACTGGCTACTTCACAGGATCCAGTTTACAATTTTACTCCTAATTCTTAAAGCTTTTAATGGTCTAGCAGAGCAATCAAACTTTTCAAGCCCAATATGACCAAAAAAAAAAGATTTCATGAGTAAAGATCTACCAAGAGATTTTCTTTGGAATGCACATCACTTGCACTGTTTACATTGCATTGCCCACAACATTACTATGGGATACATATAGAAACTTTTTATGCATACAAGATATTTAGTGAGATATTTATGCTTGCATGCATTACTTTACAGTCAGAAGACTGCTAGTCTACCGCATTCTGTGAGATGTCAGTCAAGTTTTTCTTATTGGTTCGGAGATGTCGCCACATGTTGGTCCACTCATAAAAGTCACAATCACACATAAAACATAAGGGCAGGATGACTCTCTTCACCTTGCATAGAACTTAGGCCCATCCATGGTTTATCAAAATATCACACTCACCTGGCAGACAGGAATATGTGGCAACATCTCAGAACCAATAAGAAAAACCTGATGGCTGGGGCCGCCCTCAATTCCTGCTTGTTGATGTGTTCCAATCTCACACCAGGAGGGCACACACCCGCTATACCCATGTGGCACCACAATGCTCCCCAGCCACCTAAGTCCATGGTGAGCTTCACTCTTCTGAGCCACTGCTCCCAAGCATACAGCTCAAAAACATATGTGCCACTAGACAGAGCTCAAAGGGTAGGACTTTGAATTGGAAAGTCTGTCGATTAAAGTCAAACATCAAAACATATGTTGGAATGTGAAAATAAGCATTGCACAGATCCACCAATATGAACCAGTCTGTTGTACAGCATGAATTATATCTGAGAACCTTAGCACATGAGAAAAGGGAGGGTGAGGTGGGGGTGTAGGAACCAGTTCATTGCCTCAAATTTGGAATTAGATGGAAAAAAAACCCCAAAAAACAAAAATAAAACATTATTCTTCTGAACAAGGAAATTGACTAGAACCCTTCTTGGGTCCCAGCAACAGTTTTGTTAATTTTGTTGATATGGATGTTGTCCTGAGGCCTAAGAAGGTTGGGGGCCAATGGTACAAACGGAGTTTGTATCCCTACGACACAGTCCTTCAAACCCACTGATCTGGTATAGCCATTGCCCAATGAGCAATGTTTTCATTTGTGAAGCCTCCCACTACCATCACCAGCCTAAGACTTGTGAAAGGTAGATGAAATGTTTGTGGATGTTGGAGCGCAGAACTGGGTTTCTCTGACCTAAATGTTGTGTGATTCTGAAAAATGTCCTCTCCTCTCCAAGACCTTGTTGGCAGCAAGAACAAAAAGTGACCCTGGCAGGAAAGATTTACACACATCTGACAGAACTGGAGAGTGCTCAACACATTTGGTTTCGTGCATAAACAAGGCTGGCTGAGGGTCATCCCATATGCCTTGCCTTGTGTAGGTGTCTTTTGCAAACTTCTGCAATTTGGAGTGACTGTTGTGAACATGCACAAGAAGGTACTCAGGTGATTCTCAGCATCCATGTCAGGAGGGGTGAAACAGAACTGTTATTTCACTCAGGATCAATAAAGCTTTGAATTAACTGTTTATTTATGTGCTATAGTAAGATATAGTATAATTAGAAATTAAGATATTATTTTAAGGACTTCCTCTATAACTAGTGAACATGCTTTCCTAAAAACGATAGGAGTCAGCCGCAGAGTTCTACATACAGTCATGGACGAAATTATTGGCACCCCTGGAACTTTTCCAGAAAATGCACCATTTCTCCCAGAAAAGTGTTGCAATGACAAATGTTTTGGTATACACATATTTATTACCTTTAAGTGCATTGGAACAGCACAAAAAAGTAGAAGAAAAAAGGCAAATTTGACATCATTTTACACAAAACTCCCAAAATGAACTGGACAAAATCATTGCCACCCTATTAAAACTGTGGGTAAATAATTTCATTTCTAGCATGTGATGTTCATTTAAACTCACCTGTGTCAAGTAACAGGTGCTCGCAATATAGAAATCAAAACTGAAGCCAGTTAGAGTGTATAAAAGTTGGCTCAACCTTTGTGTTGTGTGCCTGTGTGTGCCACACCAAGTATGGAGAAGACAAAGAAGAGCCGAGAATTGTCTGAGGACTTAAGATGCAAAATTGTGGAAAAATATCAACAATCTCAAGGTTACAAGTCAATCTCCAGATATCTTAAAGTTCCTTTGTCCACTGTGCACAATATAATCAAGAAGTTTATAACCCATGGAACTGTGGCAAATCTCCCTGGACGTGGACGGAAGAGAAAATTTGATTAAAGAATGCAACGCAGGATAGTTCGAATGGTGGATAAACAACCTCAGTCAACTTCCACGCAAATTCAGGCTGTCCTGCAGACTCATGGTACATCAGTGTCAGCTCGAACCATACGTCACTGAATGAGAAGAAGCACTATGGCAGGAGACCGAGGAGAACCCCACTTCTGACACAGAGGCATAAAAAAGCCAGACTGCAGTTTGCAAAAATGTACCTGAGTAAGCCTCAATCCTTCTGGGAGAACGTTTTGTGGACAGGTAGAGCTTTTTGGCAAAGCACATCATTCTACTGTTTACAGAAAACGGAAAGAGGCCTACAAAGAAAAGAACACAGTACCTACAGTCAAACATGGTTTAGGTTCAAGGATGTTTTGGGGTTGTTTTGCTGCCTCTGGCACTGGGTGCATTGACTGTGTCCAAGGAATCATGAAATCTGGAGACTATCAAAAGATTTTGGCCCATAATGTAGGGCCCAATGTCAGAAAGCTGGGTCTGCGTCAGAGGTGATGGGTGTTTCAGCAGGACAATGACCCAAAACATACCTCAAAAAGCACCCAGAAATGGTTGGGGACAAAGGGCTGGAGAATTCAGAAGTGGCCATCAATGAGTCCGGATCTAAATTTCATAGAACACCTATGGAGAGATCTCAAAATTGCTGTTGCAAGAAGGCACCCTTCAAATCTGAGAGACCTGGAGCAGTTTTCAAAAGAAGAGTGGTCCAAAATTCCAGTTGAGAGGTGTAGGAAGCTTGTTGTTGGTTATAGGAAGCGATTGGTTTCAGTTATTTTCTCCAAAGGGTGTGCAACCAAATATTAAGTTGAGGGTGCCAACAATTTTGTCTGACCTAATTTTTGAGTTTTGTGTAAAATGATGTCAAATTTGCCTTTTTTCTTCTGCTTTTTTGTGCTGTTCCAATGCACTTAAAGGTAATAAACATGTGTATACCAAAACATTTGTCATTGTAACACTTTTCTAGAAGAAATGGTGCATTTTCTGGAAAGGTTCCAGGGGTGCCAATAATTTCGTCCATGACTGTACACTGTATGTGAACACTTGACCATCACGCCCATACGTGATCCTTCCCCAAACTGTTGCCAAAAAGTTGAAAGCACACAACTGAATAGGATGTCTCTGTATGATGCACTTTTAAGACTTCAGTGGAACTAAGCACCTCAAATCTGTTCCAGTAGGACAATACTGATGTGCGAGGTCCATGAAGACAAGGCTGGTATGGAAGTACTCGTGTGTTCTGCACAGAGCCCTGACCTCAACCCCACTGAATACTTTTGGATGAACTGAAACACCTACTGCGCCCCAGGTCTTCTCACCAGACATCAGTACTTGACATCACTAATACATTTATGGCTGAATGGGCAGAAATTCTCACTATTATTGAAAGTCCTCCCAAGAATAGTGGAGGCTGTTATAAGAGCAAAGGGAGAACCAACTTTGCAATAGCGTGTTCAACAAGCACATATGGGGGTGATTGTCAGGTGTTCACATACGTTTGGCCACACAGTTTAATTCTATACCTGCCAGTCGTCTTGTGTGCATCCCTCCATTATTAAGAGTGTTCCATGACTCAATGGTATCTTCACTTTCTCCGCATATGTGTAGTCGCTATTTTCTTCCTAAAACACACAAACTTGATTTGTATACACATGTCCAAACACCTGTGGACAATGAATTGACACCACCAAGACACCCTAATGCTACACCTCGAATGCTACAAAGATCAGTACAGCAAAACTCGTCACTTACTGGAGGAGGCTTCTTCCGAAGGCTAAAGACTCTTTTGTCCCCGAGACTGAAAGAGGCTATGGTTGGGCGAGGGCCTAAAGACACCTCATTATCACTGTGCCAAGCAATGCTGTCCTTCCCATCACGGTATAGGTTACACAGCAGCGAGTTAAAGGTATGAGAGGTCTCCCGCTCTACAGCCTGACGCAGGTTCAGAAGGATGGGATGCCACTATTGGACAGAAAAAAAATAAATAATAAAAAAAAAATTAAAAATAGGTTGGTCAGGAATGTGTAGACAAATGAGTTTTTTTTTTGCCTAAGATCCCGATCATGGTATAATAACACTGAGTATTAAATTTTATTTTGTAAGTGATATGCAAAGTAATATTTTTAAATCAAAACCCAAGATAAATTTAACCATAAGATAAAATAAAATACATGTAACCGATCGATTTTTCCCAGTGCTGATTCCCAGGGGATCAGCTTTTTTTTAACCCTACTTTTAATATTTTGACCAGCTATACGCACAAACCTAAAAATAGTTTGT